GTATGCTTGTACTATTCACCGGCTATAGCAAAGGGATGGAATTAAATTACAGTAAAGCATGTGAAAAATAAAATAAACAAATTAAAGAGTTCTTGAATCACTTTGAGTCATACTCGAGAACTCTTGAAAGTTTCATGGTTATCAAGTCGGGAAGTTGGAAGTACAGATGTAAAAAAGGGTGAACTTTACTCATCCGAATACAGCACGTGCTTCTGATCGTTTCCTGTCCACAGTTTTGTTCAAGTGCAACTTAAGCCGTGCACTCTTGTTTGCATCCAGAATAAGCAGTTTTTTTGCGCTGAATGTGGACTGTAACATGGTGTAACGTCCTTCGTGTAACACAAGATGGCGAAGATATGAAAAGCGTGGTTTCGTTATTAGTAAGTAAATACTAACTAATATTTCAGTATTGACCGTATTGCTCAGTAATAACGTCACAAATATCATATGATCTTTGACCACTAACTGTCCGGCTATGTCTGTGAGAAAAATAATTCACCGTATAATCAATACATAACTATCTAAGTATCATACGCAGTTCTAATAATGTAGCTTATTTGCACTCAAGTTTTTTATTATTCAACAACTACGCTACTGGTAAGTTCATATGGGTTTCGACTTCTTACGTTTTCATGTATGTGTAAAATAAAAAGACTTCAGTATATTTAGTTCTTATAGAGTAAAACTTGTTTACTTACACTGATTATACTAACACATGGAAAACTGATTTCTTACCATCCGGTTACAATGCCACTAAATGTATGGTGAATTGCGGGTTCCGGTTTCATTTCTCACGAAAATGTTGCTACATGTATCACAGCTAACAGGAGACTGTTGAGCTATAAAGTGGGTTTTTGTTTGTTTGTTGAATGCCGCGTAAAACTACTCGAATTTTTGTAATTTTGAAGTGATAGATTAAAGGGAAGGCAGTTAGTCAACACCACCCATCGCCAACTCTTGGGCTACTACTTACCAACGGCAAATGGGACTGACCGCCACATTGTGAAGCCCCCACAGCGGAAAGGGCAATAATGTTCGGTGACAGGTTTCAATCCCGTGATCCGCAGTTTGCAAGTCAAGCGCCATAACCACCATGTCATGCCAGGTCAAAGGTTTGTTTGTTTTAGCGCAAAACTACACATCTTCACTGCAGGGAATCGAACCTCGGATTGTAGCTTTGTAAGTCTGTAAACTTACTGCTGAGCCATAGAGGGACTACAATGTAGTACGATACATACATTCTAATTACTATTTCGTACATTGTACATCAGACAGATTACGATTACATATTGTAGTGCATAAATGTATTTCCCATGTGATTCAGCGGTAAGTTTGAGGGCTTATAACGCTAAAATGTGGGGTTTGATTCCTGCTTGAACAATAAAGCAAATAAATGTGATGCATAACTCTAGCAACATTTTCCACTGAGTTATCCAGTTTCATTGAAACAAGGCAACTATTTGGCCGAAGTATGAAAGCAAAATTAGAAATGGATTTGTCTGAAATTGAAAAATTACGTAACATTATTATATTGTTATTCCCAACAAAAATGTGACGAATTTGTTTTTTATTTTATTGTAACTTAAAAAAAAATCCTGCATAAAACTCACTTGTATAAAACATGTTTTTAATGTTTAGTAATTATAAATGCATTTTTCATCCAAGTTATCACTGCTTTTATAAATATACTACTTCAAATTACAGGTGCTACCTTTGGTCTTGCTAACATGGTATGTGCTTTTAAAGTTATATATACTACTCATGTCAAGGTGTTACGGGCCAGCATTAAGTTTAGTTTGACGTTTTATAAATTATTTAATTAATGTGTATAAGAAATTTTTACTAATTAGCCTAAGCTATCTGCAATCTGTTTTTATCTAAGTCAGAGTCTTGCATAAACTTGATAATAATATCATATATGTTCCTCTTGGATTTTCTCTTGAACATTTTTAACATAAAATGTAACCTGTTATATTTCCATTTTTAAAATAAATGTTTCTTACTTCTTGAAATCTAAAAGTTTCTAAATTACTGTTTTCTGCGATTGTGTAATTTTTCACTATATATATATTTTGTGGTTATGTCTTTCGTCTAATTATTTATCTATCATTTCATGCATGTTGTTCCCATGTTTATTGTTTGATAATCAACTACCACAATGAATATTTTGTATTCCACTATGAAGTATTAATTTTATACTCAATTCAAGATGTTTAATATTGACTATAAGAAATAGCGTGATCTTGTATACTGACTTACTTTTATTTCATTTCATATTTTTGTGATACTTATTTGTCTACAGATAACTAGTTTCTTAAAATGTAATCGATTTGGCTAATATAAATCTGGTTAAGTACAAGAAATAAATCTGGTAAACCAGAAGGCGCTCGGATGATGTGTTTTCTTATTTTGTGATTTATCTAATTGTTGATTGGACCTGATTTATTAGTATTGTTGTAACGTTGTTCTTTCGAAAATAATTCAACGTCTAGTCTATGTAACAAGCACATTAGTTTATTTCTTTATTTAACGTTTCTACAAGCTTGAACACTTTTACATTATCGTAAATTTTATAGGCTTACGTTACAAGTTACGTTCTAACTTTTCTAACAACATTGAAATTAACGAAAAATCACCTCACTTATACAAAGAAATTCAATAAGCGCGATAGCTAATACAAATCCAAATACACTGACTATTTCACTCTATCAGCTAAAAACAACTCTCTGTCTTGAAATAACTCTACACTCTCTTCCTCAGAAGTATCAAGGTGTTCTAGGCCTATTTTATTAAACTTTTCTTAACGTCTTCATTGAGACCTACATTTCCCTCTAGCTAATTTCTGAATTACAACATTAAATATATAGCTTATAACACTATCCCCTTCCTGGATTATGATGTCCCCTGAACAACGTTAATCAAAAACTACACTAAACTGTCAACTCACCAATTTTTTTTTTTGGAGTTTTCTCTTCCGAGGCCCATGGTATATAGATAGCATACCATTTTGTCCCTTTTTACTGGTTGCACTTTTAGGGGAGTTTGTCTGTGTAGATGGTTGGGTGAATCCACTGGCGGCTCCAGTCTTGTGACCCTCTGGATCTAGACTCGACAGAAACTCCAGGGTCCTCTTCAGATTGAGGTTCTACTGTCAAGTGCTTCTCTGTAGTTACTCAGTTGGCCATTCTCTCACCAACGTCCTTCTAAAGACAATCATGATGGATTATCTTTGGCTTGGATTGCCTATCCTTTGAACACCTACTTAACTTGGAGTTTGTCCTTTCTTGTGGTGAGAACTATCCAGTTTTATCAGCATTTACATCATAACCACCTTTTGTAAAATCTTGTATGACATCTTTATTCTTCACAACCACGAGAGCTCTTCCAACCACGAATTCCTCAGGACATGCTGAAGTGTTTAGTTTCACTATGCCCCGTTCACTATATAAAGAAGTATTGCTAACAACTCTTGGTATAAATATTTCATTTCTTTATGGTATAATGATTACTGTCTCTGTTTCCACTGGAACAGCCTCCGATGTAGTAACTACCATGTAAGTGCACTGGGATTTCCTGCTCATAGACTATAAAGCTATCTGAATCTGTCATAACATCACATTTATGTTTGCACATGAAATCAGATTCAAATATGCATTCTTCCTCAATGTTAATTTCCTGTATATCATGAGGTACAGAAAAGCTTACTATAATAAATGTAACTTCAAACTTCCCTTTTTGTTGGAACACTATGTCCACATGATCTTTACGTTAATTCCACTTCTTTCTACATCTCTAGAGGCAATCTCCCATCTTTCATTAACAAATTGGGTTGAACAATTATAACTATAGAACCAGTGTCAATTAGCATACTGCAAAGTTTTCCATCAATAGGACCATGGATGAGGGGATGATTTTTCTAAAATAATGAACTGCTTTTCTCATTTGGGATAGATGGAGTAATCCCATCTGAACTTCGACTCATAAATCCAACTAATTCCTGTTTTTTTATGTCTCATCATCTTCGTGTTGTTCTTTTTGTCTGATTGGGCTCTGTCTCTTTGTCTTAATAACAACTGTTGATTTCTTACAGCTCAGCTGTAATGGCCAGCTTCCCCCAAATTTATAACTGTTACCTCTTCCTAGTATCCCTTGGGAGGGGCCTCTTAATCCATGCAGGCCTTTGTTTCCAGTTCCTGGCAATATCTCCCTTTAAGCTATACTTGAAACGCCTATTTTCTTGTGATTTATTTCTTCCATTCTATATAACTAGCTACCTGATCAGTTTTTTTAATTCGAGGTAGTGTCTTTAGTTGTTTATCTACAATATCAATGAATTCTAGTTCCATCACCAATTGCAGAGCTTTCCTTAAAGATGTACACCTTTATTGCTCCAGACTAATTCCTATATCCTTGTTTGTTGTAGCATCTGTAAACTGGTCAAGTACCAATGAATCTATTCTTTCACAAATAGCATCCAAGTAGGATAATTGGGCAAGCCTTTTCAAATCTTTTGCAATTTCATCTAACGTTTAATCCTTCCTCCATATCCTATTCTGGAAATTTTCTGTAGATACTTCTTCTAGTGCAACACTTTGAACCTGTTGAATAAGGCAGCTATCAATGTTTGATAGTTGTTATGGCTCTCAGCTGAAAAGTTAGTTAATGTTCTCAAAGCTGGTCTTTTTAAATTGGCAACAAGATGGATGACTTGTTGTTTTCAACTGGAACTCTTGAACAAATACAGATAATAGGAGTGTGTTTAATAATTCGTTTTCAATATACTTTATTCTGTCTCCAGTGCTCTTTCCCACCTCAATGGTGTTTTTTCTTTTACTTCACGTTTAACTTGTCAAATGTGCTTTTGCATTTCGTAAAAATTATTGTTTTAGTCCTTTTGTATGTCCCTTATAGCTTCATCGATATTGTCTTCAATCGGAGATGTATTTTTAATTTTAATTCTTCTTTAAATAATATGTCACTTTCTTTTAACTCCTCTCGTATTCCTGTTACATTTTTCTAATTTTCTATCCTTTTTGGATCTTTTCTTTATTTTATTTTTCTGCATATTTCTTCTTGAACTTCTGTTATTTTTCTATCGCTTTCTTGTTGACCTTTTTATTTTTCTGAAAATTTCTTCTTCATATCTTTTAAATTTTCTATCTCTTTTTTTTTCTAATGTTCTGTCTCTTTCCTCTTGATCATTAAATATTCATGTCTAGTACATTTTCTATCTCACTCTGTGCCTTTGTGGTCATTTTGAACGAAGTTGAAGTTTAGTGAAAGTTGTTTGTTATTTGCACTGAAAAAATATCCCACTTCTGAAACTGGTATTGTACTGTTTTTCATTCGTTGGAGTGCTCTTTTGAACTATATGGTGAAA